CACTCAATACTTAAACGTACACTTTTAAACACATAAATAATGTATAATCAAACCCAAATAAAGTGACAAACATAAAAATCAACTTGCTAAACTTTGCACTATGTAGTTCGCTGTACTATGCTCAAAATAATACACTGTAGGTAAATATAAGCTCACTGCAGCACTTTCTGTAGCACAGGATGAAAATGAGGCGTTATCTCCAATTCAGTGCAGTGCTTTCAATAGCCACTGCCCTCCCCAGTCCACTACAAGCATCAATCTTTAATACCAAGTCTTTCAAATGGAGCCTCACTATAGAGGGTGTAATGAATTTTTAAAGACATGCCTCCTTTACTGTCCATCTGGGTTGCATTTGGCCTGCTGGGTGCATTTACAATACAGATCAGACATCAAAGCTTGTTTCTGCCTTTTCGTTTGCCTCAGGAAGTTTGTGTAATAGGAGACCATGACCAACTGACAGTGTATACGACATATGGTTTTTAAAAAAATAAATAAATAAAAGGAAAAATAATAGATAACTCAACAAGGAAACAAAATGTATCACAGTTTTTGGGTAGCTTTGGTGAAAACTAACAACAAAAAAACAGAAAACAACAACAAATGCATATTTTAAAATACCAAAATTCTCCCACCATTTACAAGCTAATTCATTTTGAAGGGGGCTTTAAATTTTACACTGCAAGAGCATCTGTCAACTAAATAAATGTACGTATAAGTGTTTATGAAGCTCTGACATTAGTTTAAAAATGAAAATTTGCTTAGTTTAATGCACAAAAAGAACCTTCCCCAATAATGCCTTCAATAAAAGTTTTCAGGAAGCCGGGACAGCGTTCAAAAAACAAAAAAAATAGTTAACCCGCTCGCAACTGTATTCGCGTTTAACCAAAAACCACAAACTTGGCTCTTGAAAAGAACAAGTGACAAATCTGTCTTCTTGGCAGGGGTGACTGGATGCTGTTATATTTTGATATGAAGGAATAAATCAGTTTGTTTTCTTCATTCGGCTACATGGCCAGGCCTGATAGTTTTATCAGAAGCAATTTGGCAGTATGCCTTAATGCGCGATTAATTATAGTCATATCAAAATTAGAAGCTGGGCACGCAGACAGTCTTCACAGACTCAGCCTTTCTCAGTTCACTGAAGGGAAACCTGTCCTGCTGCAGGGTGATCTTGTGAAGGAGTCCACGCTCTAATGGCATGTTTAATATCAAATTTCCACCTGAGATATTAAGTTTTGTCATGCTGTACCAGGGAGGGGTTCCAACTGACGCTGGATAAGAGAGATGTGTTGGTGTACTCTGCTCGAGTCTCAGTCCAGAATGGACAGATTATCACTTTCCCTCAGGCACATTCCAAATCGCCTCCACCCACCTGCCCAAAATAAACTGCCACACATTAACCCTTCACATCCCATACATACACATTTACATACACCCACACAGGCATATACATACATATACGACTTGTTAGAATGTTGAAATTTGAAATAAACATTTTCTAACAGTTATTTTTTAATTGCACACTTAAAAATAATGGTTCTTCACTGGTTCTTGGCCAGTACATACAGTGCTTTAATAGGAATAAAGTGTTTTTATTGTGTGGAGTTTCTTTAAAGGTTTAACATGATCTTCACACTCGCACATCTCATTAAAAAAAATCTTCATCATCCACTGAAAAATTCTGCAGGGAACCAAAAGTGGTTCTTTTATGCCATTGAATAAAAATAGTCAATTTACTAGTTACAACACAAAGTTAATTTTATAGGTAGATCTGCTGAGCCATTTTTTTTACAGTGATTGAAGAGGCCTACAACAACGTGTCAGAATCTAACAATTTACAGTTAACTTTAACAACGGGAACGAAAAAGAGAAATAGTGATAAAAAGCTGTTGCTTTCACTCTCTGACCCTGGTCAGTGAACATCCGTTCAAACAACTTGAGCGGCAGCAGAATGAAACGCAGCCCAATTTCAACTACTTCCCAGGTTCTACAGAAGACATTAAACAAGCAATTTATAGTCTCTGTTCATACTGAAGATCAAGAGAGGGTACAACAGCCAAGAGCTTCTCTGTTACACTTGAAAACACCATGCTTGATATGCAGAATCCAAAAACCTACAGAAACAAAAAGGAAAACTCCTGCTAGCATGCCCTACCCTCTGTGGCCTCAGTTTATGAAATGATGAAAAAATGAAAGAAAAGCTAGAAGAAAGCTGTGTCCCCAAACTTTCAACACACTCATGTCATTCACCAGACCACTTCAATGTATCAAATACAAAAATGGGAGAGACGTTAGTTTGACCTTTGTGTTGAGAAGCTTCCTCTTCTGTTATGCTCCTATAAAGAGCGATGGGGGAGGGGACCCAGTGTCTTGGCCATACATTACACAAGCGGCCCTAAATGGCAATTGCGTAACATTATCTTAACGGACAGAACGCTGCAACTCTTGATTAACTGTCACCAAAATCCACTTTTTCTGGTGATAACGTGATACGGAGATCTATCTACAAACAGAACATTCGATTAAGGCTTAACAGCATTTCTACCATTCAATCTGTAGGGACAGAACAACTGTCAACATATGCAGCACACATGTACTTTACATGTCACATGACAGGAGAACTAAGGCATCAGGAAGAGCAGACGCTTTCCTTTTCTCATCAGTCATCTGATCAGAACATCTGCATGTGTGTTTCTGCCTGCCAAATAACATACAGCAAGTCATTCACTGATCAACCAAGCACAGCCATTCACTAAAAAAAAAAAAAGTGGCATTAAATAAAACAAAACTTTGTGGCAAAAAATGCATATAGATTGCTAAGTTCACCAGGCTCTGTTTTCTGCAGGAGAACTAAAAAAATATGCTATCGTGCAGATAGGCAACTACTCACTGCTGCTTCATCATGATGATCGATTTTACTGTTTTTTAAAACTGAGTAATCAAGTTTAGTTGATTAACTGTATACAATACAAAATTTCTTTTAACATAAAAATAAGATGACACTAAAACTGGGCTAAAACGTGCAGTTTGGTGCACGCCATCATAAAACAGCAGGCTTCACACACGACGGCATGGTAGATCAAATTCTAAGACAGCAATGACTTTATTAATTGAGGGGAACGAGCACTTGCTTTGTCTTTTGTGAAAAGGCTGCGGGTGAAACACTAACTGGCCGCGGGGGGTTCGGACTTGGGTATTAGAAACAAAAATGCAGCATGAGGGGCTCTTTTCAGTTTCTCTAATCAAGCATGAAAGCATAAACTCCTACCGCAGCTGCAAAAAATCAAGACTGCATGTCTTTATCTAATTTATTCACTCCATAATTACATGAAATCAATTTGAAAGTTATCTTATTTAATTTATTTCAACCGTACTGGAGCACTGTATAAACAAGACCTTTGTGAAAGCAGGATGTCAGTCACAAGTGTGGTTTAATCTCGCAGTGTGAGCGCCAGGGTTTCTGTAAGGACAGTGATTAACCCGGAGTTCACTGTAACAATGTAGTCCATCAAGGAAGTAAAAGACCAGTCCGCAAATTTTAACCAACATACCAGTTTTGACATATCAGCAATCCAGCATATTCACTTTTGATTTCAGTTTCATTTTAGAAGCATTTAGCTTTTAAAACTCCTTAGAATTTATAATAATTTCCAACTTATGTTTTAAAGTCTAAATAAACTTCTTCTAATGCAACAATATCCATCTACAAAAACTTTTTTTTGTGGTTTGACTCCAGTTCTTACATCTCAAATGTCTAAACAGACCATTAGAGATATGACTCACACAGACATGCAATACTGTGTAAAGTGATTAGTGGTAGGCAGTATTGCAAAAAACACAATATCATGATACTTGAAGACATTTTAATGATAGCCACTATATATTTGATAGGCTAAGACAAACAGCTGAAAAAACAGCAGGGCCACATAAAAATACTATCAAACACTATAAACACAATGATTTTCCACATACAGCCATAAATCCAAATGTACAGGACTAATTACGCTTTCTTTGCAATGAAACCTGCAGTTGGTCAGTGTTCTTTAAAACAGATGATATCAAAAATATGCTCATAAAAGTATACTGTGGTGTATCGCAAGATAAATTTCCAAAATATGATGAAATACTGTCACATCGCCCAACTCTACATCTGAACAGAACGATTTCTGACTTGTTTTTCTTGCCTTATGTGGTTTGATGGATGACCACTTAGTGTTCAAACATTCTTTAATGTTGTGAGCTGATGTGCTAAAACCACCTGTGCACCCATCTCCAGCAGCACCGCTACATGCTGTTTAAAAATAGCTCAATATGTTACTAACCCAACAGATTTCACAGAACAAACTGGCTGGATTTTTTTCACTATACAACACTGTTATCATAGTTCTGCATTTTCATTTTATTTTTATTTTATTAGGTTTTTTATTTTTGTTGCCAGTTTAATGCGATCTGTTGGAATGACTGTGTATATCAAATAAAGATTACAGAGTGGTTTGGTTTCTAAACAGATCAGCGGTTACATCCACAGAAATCAATGTGTTCTACAAAAACGGAATCAATTTCAGACAAAAATGAAGTTGACTGCCTTACGCGAAACCTACTCTACCGCTCATTTCCAACTGCTTAGACTGTTAGCTAATATTAACAACAGCTCATTTCATTGTTAAGTTGATTTTGCAAGTTAACATTACTATGGTTTTCCTTTAAGTATTAGAGCTAAAGTTGAGACAGTACAACTGTAGAATTTCTTTAAGCAAACAACAGCTAACTTCTAAACCTGACAAAAACCAGGATAAAAGAGAACCTGCTACAAATCTCCGGAAAGACGTTAGAGATGTTATCTGATCGTGGACCACTGCTGTGCTGCGTTTAGGGGACAGGGGACTGTCCCCTTTACCAGGAGCGGCCCCACCATCCACCGATTGACGCAAATGGCAAATTAATTATTCAAAACAGCGAACTGAGTGAGGTTTTCATGTATGGTTAACACACAAGCCTACCTGTCTGAATTGTTCCTCGTAGGTCCAGTCTGCGTGGTCTTGGCCATGAAGCTGGCTGTGTGAGGGGTGGACTGACAGACTGGAGGCTCGGGGCTCGGGTTCGGACCCCGGCCGGGGTTTCAGCTGCTGTGAGTAGGGGTGGAGCTGACGATGGGGCAGGAGCAGGATTCCTCTGCCTGGGGCTACAGCCTCACGGCCTGCCTGCAGACTTTCATCAGCAAGGTCATCATCATAGTCGTCCTCCATCTCTCCCTCAAAGTCATCCTCGTCCCACTTCTGCTTTCTGTTCATAAAGCAAAAGGCAAAAAGGAAAACCATTTAAAACCATTTAAAAAGCCATTATAAAGTTTGCTTCAGCTGAAGTTATACAATAAATCTTAGACCTCGTCCTGGAGGACCAAAGCCCTGAACATTTTAGAGTTTCTTGCGCAACACACCTTTCTCCTCACAAGTACTACAACTACTGAACTAATCAATAAGCCCTTCTTGATATGAACATGCTGTTTTAGAGCATGGGAAAAACACGCAGGGCAGTGGTACTCCATGACAAGGACTGAGGATCTACAGTGTGATTGATCTGAAAAGCATCACTGCTGCTTATTACTTACTATGGTCAAAAGTTTGAGATTAAATGTTTTGTCATTTTGTTAAAACTACTCATATCTACTGATGCCAGTTTACAACAATAAGATCCTATACAGCAGTACTTCTATCATAAAGAGGGAGCCAAGCTAGAATTTTAGAAAACTATCATACTACAGCGATGGCAAAAAAGCAAATGTACAAAAAAATTCCCCCTGGTTTCTAACACTGTATGACATACTGTTAAGGTAAAACAATGCAAGTTTGAGGCAGGTGATGATTTAGGCATGCAGTTTGCATAATGCTAACTGCTGTACATTACGCAGGTGCATTCCAACTAATTTTGCTATTCAAGTATCTGCAAGAGCTCAGGAATGGATATCTGGTTATCTGCAGAGAAAGAAAACCCAAAACACAAACAAATCGGCTGAAAACAGCACACAGAGAAATACACTTGAAAACATGTTTTATAATCTTTTAGCTAATGAGCTAACAGAGTTAACTGCTACGTTGGATGCTGATGAGGTCTTGCTGCCTTCTGTACAAGGTGTTTTAAGGACAATGTGTTAACATGTTAGTTTCTCAGACAAATGTAACTAAGACCAGCTATAGTAGTACAGTAACAAAAAATGTGTAATTTTGATTGTTAAACTTCAGCTGATTAAGCTGATGTCTCTGTAATTATTGGCATTTATTAGCATACGACTGCCCACTTACATCTGCTCCTCCTCTTCTGACCCCATCATATCCCTATACTGCTCTTCTCCTTCCTCTTGTTCCTCTCCTTCATCCTCATCCTCCTCTCCGGCGCTGCTGTGCTGAGACATTGGGCTGTCGGCCGCCGGATGTCTCTGCAGTCCGGCCGCCACGGCCCTCATGGCCGCCAGCGCAGCCATCTGAGCGCGCTCCGCCTCAGAGGTGGAACTTAACTTCAGCTCCTCTCCTGTGGGGGGAGAGCTCTGCAACTGTCCCACCTGTTGCTGCTGCTGCTGCTGCTGCTCCATCTCCATGAGCAGTTTGGCCTGCTGTTGCCTGTGCAAGTTCTCCATCACTGCCTGCAGCTTCATCTCCAGGCAAACAGGACTTGCTGCAATATCGCCTCCTTTGCCTCCTCTCTCCAACAAAGAGGCACCAATCAGGCCCGCTAGCTTATAAAGAGTGGGGCTTTTAATACAAAGGATGAATACTTATTAACTCCCAGAGCTCACAAAAACTGCTTCCGTTTTTTGTAGTAGATCGATACTGAGGGAAGTTCCTGAGTGTTTGACCAAGTTTCTGTGGAAGACAAGGCTTTTGCCAACACTACAGACTGCAGCAGGCTTCAGAGAAGAGGATCTTCCCCCCACGCAGAGTGCCAAGCTCTAACAGGGCCTGAGAGAGAAAGAGAGGACATCAGTAAATATGCTGAATAAAAATGCACCTCCATCCATTTATGTTCTTTCCATATCAAACTTTGCATCAAGGGATATTCTTAACTGTAGAGACCACACAGCGCTCCGGATACCATATAGCCCTAGTTAAGCTATACAGATATCACATACTGTATACACTGCAACAGCACCAGTTTCTATCCACTCCAAACTTTTTTACTCCCAACTGATCAAGAAAAACTCCCTAATAAGTGGAAATCCAATCCAGATTCAATTTCTCGGCCACTGCACTCTGAAAAAAATAAAAAAAAAAAAAAATAATAAAAAGAGAGAGAGAGAGAGAGAGAGAGAGAGAGAGAGAGAGAGAGAGAGAGAGAGAGAGAGAGAGACTGTGTACAAAATGTACTGCAAATAATGAGAAACGTAATTTGAGAAGGAGCTCACAGCTATAGTAAGGAATTTCAGAAAAACAAGTTGGCATGATTATATGACTCACAAGGGGTTTTGGGATGGGAATACAAACGGAACGTTAGTGGGCAACATCATGATATGTTTTCGTTATCATGACAAATTAAATTTCAGGATTTTTTTCAGAATAAGTCATGGCTATTTCTACTTCTAGAGTACTGTACATCGAACCAACTGTTCCTTCTTTTTTTTTTTAAACAATGAATTTAGGAAATAAATATACTCCATTCTCATTGTGTTTCATAGCCATTTACATATGTCACTACCGTTTTGACCTTTCCAACCTGTTAGTAAACCTCAGAAAAATTGTCAAGATTCATGTCGCACATCATGAAAATGTCTCCAAGTACTGTAATGTTGCATTTAAGCCATATAGCTCACCCTTTCAAACTATGATAGTAGCTTTAAACTGTTGAATTTGGCTGTGTTTCATTAACCACACTGACACATAGGCTAATAAGTACCTCGTTATACTTTTTTTTATTTAAAATTACTGTTTTTGCACATTTTGTCTTTAATTCCTCCTGCTGAGTGAGCAGATACTGTATACTGTACTGTGTACTATTGTAAAACAAACAAACAAACAAACTATTTTGCTAAAACACAAGAATATACTCTCCATACCTTGATAAATGAAAGCAAGGCTACAAGTGAGACAGGGCTTTTTTCCTTAACTTGCCACATCTAAAGTGCAGAGGTAAGGGTAATTTTAGTACGGACTGCTTTCAACAGATTGTTTTCATCAAACTGTATTTGGGCAACAACTACACCAGAAATATTTCTTCATAAATTGCTACATATGCTGCTGCACTCACTGGTAACAACTCTTGAAAAAAGGGAGAGGTAACAAGTCTTTTTAAGTAAGGCAATGTCCCTGAACACAAGAACAATGTCTAGGAAAGCCTTTAACAGACGGAAATACTGGCAACATACACTGCAAAGCCACAGCTTAGCGCTATATCACAAATCGTGTCTTACTACACTGATGAACATACATCAAATATATCAGAGGATTATAACAGTTATTTGAAATGTGTCCACCAACAATTCTGGTAAGCAACAGAAGAATACAGGCAATTGGAGCGTCTATGGTATTTCATACCAAGACAAGTGTTGTCTGATACACGATGATATCAATCATACTGCCATCGGCAGACAATAGTTAAAAATAAATAAATAAATAATCGGCACGTAAAAGATGTTTAGATTTGACTGATATTTCAAACTGAAATTCAATAATGTATATATTGTACAGAAAGGAGAATGTTTAGGTAATGCTGGGTTGCTAGGCTGAAATGCATTTTAACCCTCTACATATAAGTATTACATTCCTCTATAAAGCCAGTGCAGACCGATATAGTTGGGTTGCTACATTTTATAAGAAGTGTGAGGTAGGAAGTCTTTTTAAGCAACGCAATTTCCCTTAACACAAGAAAGACTGCCAAAACAAGACACTTTAACAGAAGAACAAATGTTCTCTAGGAAAGCTTTCAGCAGATGGAAATATGAGCAACATTCATACATGCTGTAGAACAGGCTGTAGCTTAATACTATATCACAAAGGCAGGGGTAATGGCACATGCCCATAAGATTCCTGGGAGGTTAAAGACAGTTTATAGGCTAATCCTACCACCCCCTCTGCCAGAGCGATGCACCGGGGGGGCCGAGGGAGGAGTGGTGAAGATTGCAAGGTCTGAACAAACAGGACGCGAGATAAGGAAAGCTGTAAGGGTCTAATTCCATCCAGATAAAGAGACCCACATCCACATCCCCAGCTGTGCTATGGCTTATAAGCAACTTGTCACAGCACACCTAATCAAAGGAACCTGCCAGGGCCCAGAAAAGAGGTAAAGGAAGAGGAAAAGAAAAATCTAATTTATAGAATACCCCCCCCTCAGGACACGTTTGGGTTCTTAAGTTAGCTTTGGTAGTTTTGCACTGGAGCTACTAGCTAAGTAAAGGAAGCTTATACCTAGTGGTGGACAAAATTAAATAAACAAATTCCAGACACCTCAAGAAGATACTCCACCAAATGGCACTGTGGATGGTGTAGTGCTGAGTATTCGGACAGATATCGCCACAAACTGCACAAAGTTGTTGAGAATTCCCGAATACACTTTCTTATGTGGTTTATGGCTCTTTTTGGCACTGTTTTGACCAAAAATGGCCAAACAAGTAAATGCATGGTTATTTTAATACCGATGAACCCATGTATTATATATTGTACATACAAAAATTAGGATTCTACAGGGTTGCATTTTATCCATACAACACACCTTTGGTCATTTTTTTCTGATTGCGTATGTTCAGGTTAATGAGAAAATTGTGTAAACTTGTTTTTTTGCCAAACTATTTTTGTAATGTGACCTTGAAACAGGCATGACGCTTAACATGCACATACAAGAAACTTAATTTGACCAGAAATACTGTACTGTACGCTGTACTGTGGGTGGAAAAATAACTGGGGAAATTAAAGATATGTGATCAGGATTTTGGTCGCTAAATTGGGCTCTGACGTTTTTCAGTGTTGGTGTTTTGAAAAGGCGAGCTGTTCGTTGTTTACACCACTCAGCCCTCCTTTCAAGGACAGGATGTAACGTCACAGTCTTTCACCGCACACTTTCAAACAGAGTAACATGACACTAGCAACACAAAGTGAGATGCAGCAGCAGCAGAGTACACGACGACCCAGGCAGTGTACACCGCAAAAAAAAAAATCCCCCATTCATTCAGCTGTTTCTGCTGGTGGAGAAAACACATAGTAGCCTTCCACATTGCTACAAGCTTTATCTCACTGGAAAGTAAAATTACCTCCGTCAAACACATTAACACCACCAAGATTAGTCACTCAGTGTCTGACCGCCGCACACAAGAGTCAAGCAATGTGTTGTCCACAATCTGTCTGAAGGAAAGGCCAATCTGATTAACATGGCGAGCCATGTAAAGAAGGGAATACCTCCAATAATCTTATTTACACAGATCTCCTTATTCTCCTCAGCCATTTTAGGTGGAGTACCATGAGCTTTAACCATTAATGTCAGATTAAGTTAGGTAAGAAAAAGAGGGTATAGAATCTATATCGGTAAAAACTCCAAAAAGCTCAAAAAACATCCTTTCTTTGAGTAAAATGAGAGTCTGCTGACCGCTAAAACTACCGCTGCATGAAGAAATTTGATGTATGTCTGTTTGGAGAAAACTAAATATAATAAAGGACCTTGTTTACAAATCATTAGCAAGATTAATGAATGTCTGACGAGAGCTTCGTTCATCGTTATATATCAGTAATTCAACACCGATGAGCCCACACACACTGTAAAGAACAGTTTGAGGAGCGATATGTGGCTGTGAACCTGAAAGTACTTCAAAATATTTTCTTTGGGTGACTAACAGAACAACTTATATTAGTACAAGTAGTATTTAGAACTACCGACAGGCTTTTCCTGTGTTATGTAACACAAAAATTAATGCAAGTAAATGAGATACAATTAAAAAATTATTAGTATTGAACATCTATTTCGCAAGCATCCAAATATATTTTGTTTTTTCCTCTCTCTGTGGTTTTGTTAAACAGTGAAAATACATACATGGCTCTTCATGTCTGGATTTACTTATGCTTCATAATCAGGTCAATAAGGAGACCTGATACTGGAAAACTCCATTTGAATCTTTTTCAAGTAGCATTTTTTGCACATTATTACATATCTAGATGAAGCATCTGGGGTAACCATGTATACAGACATTACACTGGAAAAAGGTGTGTTCCAATTTTCCGCTTTTCACATTCTAGAGGGCCATTTGCATATTTTCACTAGAGAAGAAGGGGCAGTTACTGTAAATGACAGAAAACCATTTTAAATTCCAGTTCTGCAAGTTTGTTACACTGTAATCAGCCTCTTTCAACAGAACAAACAGTTCTTGTAAGACTTTCTATGTAATAAAAATGACTAAAGAACATACTGAAACCGTCCTTGTCAGATTTAGTCACAAAAAATGACGACAACTGAAGGAAAAGCAAAGAGAACAAAAACAAGACAAGCAAACAACAAATGGGCAATACAGAAAAAGATCTAACAATACAACATACCACATGGTACTGCACTGTAAAGCATGTTAGCTTGTGGACAGTGCGTTAGCTTTGGGCTAACATACTAGCTTATGGATGAAGTGTTTTAGTTTGTTTGTTGTATTTTATGATATTAAATGCTCTAATACACTGAAAATGGAAACAAGCATTTTAACAGGCACATTTTTAGCTACTCCTTATTTTTGCTGTATCAAAACATATATCAAATTGAGAAACCACTTTATCACACTCGTTTAACTAACGAATTCTCTGATTTGCTACACCCTCTCAACTTAATATTGGTTAGAGCCAAGCCGATTATCTCTGTTCTGAGACTCTACTCCTTCTCCTTGATATTGATCTTAAAGAATGAAAAATACTTTCAGCACAATGCCTGAACTCTGCTGAACACCTTGCTCTTCCATCTGCTCCCTTTTGGTATGAAGGCTAAAATACAGTATAGGTGTCTA